ACAAAGTTTCGTGCATTTTGAAAAAAATTTCTCCGCCCCCCCCATTTTGTCGGAAGACCAAGATGCTCATATTTTATCCGGGCATTTCATAAATAGCAACCATACCTCAGGACGTTTTTGAGTTTTTGCCAAAAACTACAGTGGTTTCCGAAAAAAAAATTTTTTTTTGATTTTTTTGAATGCACTTATCTTAGAGGAGTTCCATTAATGGATGCTTTTATGCATTTCAGGAAAGCGTTGGTTCAGATATGTATACCAGGTTACTCAAAAACAATCAATAATTTATTACTTCGCAGTCTATGATAAAAGTTTTCTACCTTAGTGAGCAGTAAATCAACACATCTCATCAACAAAAACAAACAACGATACCTTGTTTCTATAACAACGTATTGTTGAAACAATGTAGGTATGCATAGAGGTTATATCAATTGCCAATTTTCATGAAAACGTCAGTGTAATTCGGGTCCTAAAAAATTTAAAGATGCCTCGTTCAAATCGGGTCGAAATGAAAAATATCATTAGGTAAGATCATTATAGTGATATAAACTATAATTCAGTACAGATAATTATTATTTCAGGTTACGACGATTAGGATATACTCAAACTTATTTAAGTACCATTTTCAATAAGTCAGTCATGACAATAAATAGACCGATTCATCGTTTTGAGGAAACAGGTAATCAGGCCATTTAAAAAAAATGCAAAAAAAAATAGTTTTTGGCAAAAACTCGAAAACGTCCCGAGGTATGGTTGCTATTTATGAAATGCCTGAATAAAATATGAGCATCGTGGTCTTCCGACAAAATGGGGGGGCGGAGAAATTCTTTTCAAAAAGGAACGAAACTTTGTTTCACCCTGTATCACGGGTCCTGATCAATTCAGAAGAAGTTGTGAGGAACGGTTCGAAAGACGATAAAGAAGGCATTCAGAATCTGGGCGGCAATTCAAAATTCGTTCAATATTTTAGAAATTACGAGAAGTCAAACTTGATGCCAAATTTCACTATTAACGTTTCAATTGACGCCCAGTTTATTAGAAAACTAACCGAATAGTCAATGATATGTTTATATTATATCATACAAAATTCTCAGCAAAATACTTGAAACTTTTAGAAACTTATAACTATGATAGGCCAAAAAATACGGTATCATAGCCTCATCAAGGCTGTGATTCTCTTCATTTGGAGCATGATTGAAAAACCGCCACTATCGATCCAAAACTTGACAAAAACCTAACGATCAGGATTGACCTTGTTTAAGAGGTCAACAAAATATAATGTGACACTGGCGACATCTTCAAACCGTCAGCTGAATCAGAAAAATACAGGTTTCGTTTTGAAGTCCTTTTGAAAGGACGGTAGGCGTAAATGGGTTAATTGTTATAAACAATCTCGCTACTAGGACCAGCCGATTTAGACAAGGGAAACAGTTCCTACACAAGTAGTTCAAGATGATTAGGACTCGGCCAATCCTCATTTGTTTATTGATTTCCATTCGATAATTAAAAACAATGTACACTGTAACATCCAGGATTGAAGATGTTTAAACCCTTTTACGGGATAGAAATTATCAAAAAGCAGCTGAAGATCAGACACAACGTGAATTATTATGAATAAATGTCATTCACCCCTCTTCAGTAGTTGAAAAACAGTAATTAACATTAATGAGAGATATAGTTTATTTTATAACATTTTCCATTATCACTTCACACACGTCTAATTTTTTCAATGAACAAATGAACATTTGACCTTCACTGGTTTTGAATTACCTTCAATCATCATAGATGGCAGACCTAATTTGTCTGTAGTTTTTTTTTTAAATGACCAAGATCATGTACTCCTCATTTTTCTCGTGGAACGTTTTGATGGAATATTCGTATACGCCGCTTTTTTCTTTCATCATCCTGTCCACTTTCTTTGGAAGACAACCTGGGACTTTGACAAGAATTGACAGTCTGGTTTGGTGGTGATTCGAAGGATACATCCTGTAGCACTGACATCTCAGATATATCATGAAAAATGGTATGAAGGATGGTCTCAGTCGAATAATAAGTCAGTTATTCAGAAAGTTTGCTACGATTTCTTCTAATCCTGCTGACTCTAGTAAACCTTTTGGTTCTTTCTTGATGGTTCAGAGTAGTACTCAATTGATCGAAAGCCAATGAAAATCATTCAGACCCTTCTTGGTTCTTGACAACCTCCACCTCCAATTACGAGAAGAATGTCTATTAGCACGTGAAAATCTTATTCCGATGACAGATGAAACGCCCCATTTGCTAATAATAATCAAATAAAAATCAATGAACGAGTAAAGTCGCCTGAATTTCCCGTGAAAATCTTCGACTGAACAGGGATCTCGCAAAGACCCAAAATACCTATTGATAAATAGACATATCAGCGGCGCATGAGACGATGTAAACTTTGATGTAGATGCAACTATGAAGAGAACGTACTTCGCCCCATCAAAATTGAACCTTCTTCACCTAATTTTCCAGGACTAAGAGGAGAGGGAGAGTGAAGAAGAGGAGAAAGTTTAGTATAATAAATGGTGATTTTGAAATAGAACTAATTAACGGCGCATGGGATGATGTAGACTTTGATATAGATGCAATTACAAAGAATATTTCCCTCATACATAGAATGTGTCAGAGGTAATTGCACTGTAGAGAAGATTACAATGCGAAAACATCCCGTCGCCAACATTTCTTCAAGAATTTCGTTATTCGTGAAATATTCCAATAGTTAATTGTGCATAAAAATGACCAGATAATATAGCATTCAAGCGTGGTATCTTATACAAATAGCATTTGGTTACTTCCATATTTTGAGGGGGAGCCCTCTCCCTTCGTACTCTGCCAATTTCGCCAAATTATGAAAATAAACTCTTGTTAAATCAAGATAACACGTTTTCTTGCAAAATTATCGGTGATTTTTTTGCACTCATGCAATTATAACCGAAAACGCACTTTGCCCCATCAAAATCGAACCTTCTTTATCTAACATTCCTGGACTAAAGAGGAGAGGGAAAGCGAAGAAGAGAAAGTTTCAGTCAAATTTACAGGCTCCCCTAGGACCCAACGAACCGCCTGATAGGTTTATTATGAAAATTGGTGATTTATGAATAAACCAAATGAACGGCCCATGGGATGATATTGTAGACTTTGATGTAGATGCGATTACAAAGAGGACGCACATTATCCCATCAAAATCGAACCTTCTTTACAGGCTCAAGTCGGACCCACCTAATCGCCCGATAGTATATTCATAATAATTGATTATTGATAAATAAACAAATCAGCGGCGCATGAGACAATGTAGACTTTGATGTAAATGCAATTACGACTTTGCCCCATCAAAATCGAACCTTCTTTACCTAACATTCCTGGACTAAAGAGGAGAGGGAGAGCGAAGAAGAGAAAGTTTCAGTCAAATTTACAGGCTTTCCTCGGACCCACCGAACCACCTGATAGGTTTATTATGAAAATTGGTGATTTATAAATGAACCAAATGAACGGCCCATGGGATGATATTGTAGACTTTGATGTAGATGCGATTACAAAGAGGACGCACATCATCTCATCAGAATCGAACCTTCTTCACAGGCTCAAGTCGAACCCACCTAACCGCCCGATAGTATATTCATAATAATTGATTATTGATAAATAAACAAATCAGCGGCGCATGAGACAATGTAGACTTTGATGTAGACACGATTATAACCTTGCCACATCAAAATCGAACTTCTTTACAGGCTCAAGTCGGACTCACCTAACCGCCCGATAGTATATTCATAATAATTGATTAATGATGAATAAACAAATCAGCGGCGCATGAGACAATGTAGACTTTGATGTAGACGCGATTATGACTTTGCCCCATCAAAATCGAACCTTCTTTACCTAACATTCCTGGACTAAAGAGGACAGGGAGAGCGAAGAAGAGAGAGTTTCAGTCAAATTTACAGGCTCCCGTCGAACACACCGAACCACCCGATAATTTGTTTATAATTCGTTATCAATAAATAAGCAAATCAGCGGCGCATGAGACTATGTCAACTTTGATGTAGATGAAATTACGAATTTGCCCCATCGAAATCTAACTTTCTTTACCTCACTTTCATGAACTAAAAAGAAGAGGGAGAGCGGAGAAGAGGAAAAAGTTTCAGTCAAATTTACAGGCTCTCGTCGAACCCACCGACCCACCCGATAATTTGTTTATGATTCATTAATTTATTATTGATAAATAAGCAAATCAGCGGCGCATAAGACTATGTCGACTTTGATGTAGATGCAATTACGACTTTGCCTTATCAAAATCTAACCTTCTTTATCTAGCTTTCCTGGACTAAAGAGGAGAGGGAGAGCGAAGAAGAGGAGAAAGATTCAGTCAAATTTACAGGCTCCCATCGGATGATATCGTAGACTTTGATGTAGATGCGATTACAAAGAGGATGCACATTATCCCATCAAAATCGAACCTACTTTACAGGCTCAAGTCGGACCCACTTAACCACCCGATAACTTGTTTGTAATAATTGATTATTGATAAATAAACAAATCAGCGGCGCATGAGACAATGTAGACTTTGATGTAAATACGATTATGACTTTGCCCCATCAAAATCGATCCTTCTTTACCTAACATTCCTGGACTAGAGAGGAGAGGGAGAGCGAAGAAGAGAAAGTTTCAGTCAAATTTACAGGCTCCCCTCGTACCCACCGAACCGCCTATTAGTTTTATTAAGAAAATTGGTGATTTATAAATAAACCAAATGAACGGCGCATCGGATGATATTGTAGACTTTGATGTAGACGCGATAATGACCTTGCCCCATCAAAATCGAACTTCTTTACAGGCTCAAGTCGGAATCACCTAACCTCCCGATAGTATATTCATAGTAATTGATTATTGATGAAAAAACAAATCAGCGGCGCATGAGACAATGTAGACTTTGATGGAGACGCAATTACGACTTTGCCCCATCAAAATCGAACCTTCATTACCTAACATTCCTGGACTAAAGAGGAGAGGGAGAGCGAAGAAGAGAAAGTTTCAGTCAAATTTACAGGCTCCCCTCGGACCCTCCGAACCGGAAATCCCTCGTCACGATTTTCTTTTGGATCGGGATCTCGCACGACCCCTCGTTGGAACTTTCCGCTTGCGTGGAAAAGTCGGTGGTGTCCCCGTCCTTGGACAGTCCCTCGCTGGGGTCGGATGTGCTTTGGGGGGTGGAGCGCTTGTCCATGAAGTTGTTCACCTCCGAGATGTCGAACATTTCCGGGGGCGGTTCGCTCAAGGAGCTGCACATTTCGCCGCCCAATGTGAAGCGGCTTTCCACCTACCGGAACATATAGGGTGATTCACATAAGAACCGACATAGAGCAGGGGCATGTAGGGGGTCCCAAAATATGGCAATTTAACGCAACTTACCTCTATACCAAGTTGCTTTCATAAGGAGATATAGGCTTTGAAAGTCAAGTTATAAATTTTGAAAAAAATCAATATCTCCGTTATTCTTGAACTTAAAGCAACCAAATTTGGTACACTTTGTGGATGTATTTAGGGCGTTACTTGACAGTAACTAGAGTTCAGTTGAAATTTGTAAAGGGGGTATACCGGGTGGCGCACCATTAATATTCAACATAATTTTGTTAACACTTGTTGGATTTCAGAAATCTTTGCTTCGTTTTGTGGGCAATTTAATTCTAAAACTTTTCCCACTCCAGTAATTTTTCGAAAAACCTCATCATTTTCATCAAAAACTCAAATAACTGAAAACGCACGCTCTAGGTGTGTTATTTAAAATCATCGAAAATTCAAAAGTTGGCTATGAAAATAAACGTCAAACTTGACAATGAGGTGAGCTGTTCAATTAGGTAATTGTTGTTTGGGTGTTTTTGAAATGAACGGGAAGTTTTCTATTAACGAGCAAGTTGACATGCTGTTAGTGTTATGCCCATAACTCCTTAGGGAAGCAACTTGGTATAGAAGTAAGTTGCGTTAAAATGCCATATTTTGAGACCCCCTTACATGCCCCTGCCCTATGTCGGTTGTTATGTGAATCACCCTGTATATTTTCAACCAGGGTTGGAGTAAGTCATGAGATACCGACTTTTTGAATTAATTCGGACTTTTTTGGATTAATTCACTTGAAAATAGTTGGAAAATATTGAATTTCATTTAGGCGAACAAAATGTACAGGGTGGGCAAAATTGGGCGTTTTCACGGGCTATCTCATTAACTGAAGGAGTTATCGAAAAACCGATCTACATGTCACTGGTTCGATTTTGAAAAAACTTAAAATGGTGCATTCGGAATTTTGATATCTCCATTCGTTTCAGAGATACAGGGGGAAATCGAAAAATAGTCGGTTTCGTTTTTATTTTCTGAGTGCTTTATGGTGAGGAAAATTGAAAATTTTCAAAAAGTTCATTCATATAGAATGATGCGAACAATCCATTGGCACCATTAAAATTTTATACAGAGTGATATTAAAAAGATACGGCATTTACGCTGAGAAATATAACTCTATGTCACTTTATGGAATGCTGAAATAACGTTTCCACGCAGTTCTTCAGCATTTTGGTGATCTCAACGATATATATGGTTTTCTAGAAATCCTCCTTTGGTTACTATATACAGAGTGTCATTTTCAACCAATATTCTTCCTCTTGATAGCATTTTCCAGAAATCTCGTTGATTCCATAGCTGCTGGCGAGCAGTGTTATCACTGGAGTTATTCCCCCTAGGTCCTCGAGTGTATCATTGGCACCTCTCTCACAGTTGCGAATTTTTGAATCCAACCTTGATTTTTGCGGAAGATACGGAAATGGAAAATGTGATACACTGAATACAGTGTGTCCCACTTACCATGCTCACCATGGGTATCTCTTTAACGGTGAGAGATACGAGGTCGGTTAAATGACACCAAATGTGGAGTTTGTCTAGGCCAACTATAATGTGAAAAAATATTTCGATAAAATCTATTTTTTTTTGTTTCATACGCAAAAAACATATTTTGATCATTTTCATGTCTCCTCCGTAACTTCTTCATTTATGAAATAATTTAAAAAGAAATTTCACATTCTCATGGCAGTTTTTCAAGGTGATTTCGAAAAAAATATCAAATTTATACCAACTCTTCTAGAATTTGAGATATCGGCACCAACTTTAGTTTTTCAAATGTAGGTCATAGCTCACTATGACTTAGTTACAAATAACTTTTTTTTCTCTTACAGATGATATGCCGCAGTAATAGTTTTGTGTTGATAACAACGGAGTTATCGTCATTTATACAAAAACAAAAATTATTTGGAAGCCGCCATCTTGAATTTATAAATTTTAACAACAAAATCATGATCTCCGACCTCAAAAACCCCCACTTACCAATTTTGAATGGAATCGGACCAAATCTTGTCCGCCATCTTGGAGCAGCCATTTTTTTTTAATTTCAACAAAAATTCCATAACTCCGATTAACTTGAAATTTGGCAGGTGTTCATAATTCCGGTGACAATACATTATGGAATTATGGAGAGATGAAAATGATCAAAATCTGTTTTTAAACGTATAAAACAAAAACGAATAGATTTTATCAAAATATTGTATCACATTATAGTTGGCCTTGACAAACTCCACATTTGGTGTCATTTAACCGACCTCGTATCTCTCACCGTTAAAAAGATACCCATGGTGAGCATGGTAAGTGGGACACACTGTATATCTTTGCGAATATTTCTGAAATTGTGAAAGAAAAAGGTAGATTTATATATATTAAATGAAGTGAAATTTCTGGGTACCTACATCGATAGTAACATGACCTGGGAGTCGACTATGAATCAAGTTACCAAGAAAGTAAACACTGGATATTATGCAATTAGACAGTTGAAGTCAACATTCAGTAAGGCACAGCTCTTGAATGTATATTTTGCAATTGTATACTCCCATATTTCTTACAACATTGCTGTGTGGGGCTGTTGCACAAAACTAAATAAAATATTCATCTCTCAGAAAAGGGTTATACGATTGATATTTGGATTAAATTACAGAGAATCATGTAGACAATACTTTATTCGAAATAAAATCATGTGCGTTCCATGCATTTATATATACAAATGCATTTTATTATTCAAAACAAATATCCATGACTACAACCGAAATTGTGATTTTCATGCATACCCTACCAGGCATGGTGAACTGATACGGCTCCAAAAACATTCAACTCGTCTCTATGAGAACTGTCCGTCATATGTGGGAGCAAAACTGTTCAATCATCTACCGGATGATATAAAAAACCGAAGTAGTAAACATATTTTCAAGGCAGAACTGAAAGAATTCTTGATTGAAGGTTGTTTCTATAGTACTGATGAATATCTTAGTTATTAGGACCCATTTTTTTATTTTATTTATATTCATTTTATATCTACTTTTGCTGTATAACTGTAATGTTACTAATTTATGTTTAAAATGTTTGTGTATCATCTGTTGTCTGACGTATCCTATATCATTTTTTTTGATCATGAAGGATTTAATAAATTTATTTATTTATTTATTTTTTATATTTGAAATTGCGCCTGGGACTATCTAACTGTGCCAAAAATATTCGAAAGTTTTCAATATTCCCCACCATAAAGTACTCGGAAAATAAAAACGAAATCGGCAATTTTTCAATTTCCCCCTGTATCTCAGATACGAATGGAGATATCAAAATTCCGAATGCGCCATTTAAGGTTTCTCTAAAATCGAACCCGTAAGATGTTTATCGGTTTTTCGATAACTCCTTTAGTTATTGAGATACCCCGTGAAAACGCCCAATTTTGCCCACCCTGTACTTACAAAAAGGTAACAAAAACACTAAAAACTAGGAACAAGACAGAAAAAAATTATGAAATATAAAAAAAAGGGATTTTCACCTCCAGAAAAGATCCGTCGGGGATGCCGTGCCTCCTCGACTTCGCCTCCTCCCCTCTCGCAGACCTCCTCCCCAGCGCGCCGCCCTCCTCCGCCTCGTCGTTGAGCAAGGGCATACTGCTGTTGAAGGGCTTGTGGCCAAGATGGTCGACATTTTCCTCCAGGGAGGGCAGAGAAAAGGAAAACCCGGGGCTGGTCATCGCTGTCGGCACGCCGGACAAGGTCATGTCCAAATTGGCGCCGAGCTCGTTTACCAACATCTATCGAAAAAATGAAAATTCAGATTTCCTTGAAGCCTCCAATAATATTCCATATATTCTCAACAGTTACTACACCCCTGGGATGAAAATATTGAGATAAATGATCAAATGGTCAAATAATGCTAGATTGAGGGACTGGTCATCGTTGTCGGCACGCCGGACAAGGTCATGTCCAAATTGGCGCCGAGCTCGTTTACCAACATCTATTGAAAAAATTCAAATTCGAGATTTTTTTGAAGCCTCCAATGGTATTCCATATAAAGTGCTCAAAGAAACAAGTGGACCACTGGAATTTTCGACTATATTCAAACTATCATAACTTTTTGAAAAATGAATGGATTTTCAATCGGAATGCAGTGTTTTGAAGATGCGATCTTTCTGTTCAAGATTCCTTGTTCAAAACTCGTCGGGAGTTTTTCTGTCATTATACACCAAGTGTTCTAAAAAAGTATTACAAAAATGAAAAAATTCAAACGCTTCTGTATTCTAGGGATTTTTTTTTATTTTTCTATTAAGCGTTTTCTCCATAGTGGAAGGAGAAGATGGTGTGCTCAACAGAAAGCTCAAACTCGTCTTGTTCTGCGCATGACGTCAGCTGGGATATAAATGTCATTGTTATTATTTGTTTGCGTGATTGATGTCTCGAACTTCAGATATTATATCAGTACTGAAATTGAACGAAATGCCTACTTGTTTCGTTTCTGGTTATTGAAATTCCAACTAACATACAAAAGGCACAGATATTGAATTTTTCTGCTTTTCCGAGAATGGAGACCTAATGAAACGATGGGAGCTTGCTGCCGACAGAATATAAGCTCAAATAATGGTACCTACCTTATATTCCTTATATCCTCCTTCCAAAGTATTCACCTATCATATTATCATCACATTCATATAACAGCACGTATTTCTAAAAAAAAATTTCAAGCAAAATGTTCCGAAACAAGTGCGAAAGTACGGTTCTTGAATTACACACCTCCAAAAAATCACAAATATTTGACACAAAATGCCATTCCTACAGAACATCTTCCGAATAACAAGTCAGAAATAATTGAAAATGAATTCAAAACTCTCAATTTCTCACAAAATATAAATTACAGCAAAGAATTCAATAACAAAACGGCAAAAATTGATACTCCTGTTGTCGATGTCGTTGACTGCTGAATTTTAATCTGTCAGAATCGACACAGTAGAGAATCATTCAGATGGGATTGCCAATGCATGATAATTCGTATGTATTTGCTATTTGCGATTGCGAATTACCTCAAGATCACAATTTCCAGAATCAATGAAATAGTAACATCGAAGGAAAAGGAACCTGTTTATATAAATTGAATTATTTCTAAACAGATCGAGAAACTTATAGAAATTTCAATAAACATGATTGAATTCATTGCGCACGACCATGGCAAAGGTATCTGTCTGTAGCTCATATTGGTATCCCAGATAACGTCACATAAAATGCGCGTAGGCACACCATCTTCTCCTTCCACTATGGTTTTCTCCGAAAGTTCAAGCCGATATCTCGAAACGGTTTTGTAATTTTCCATACTCCTCATACATCATGTTGAAAATTGATGATTTTTCATTTTTAGGTTTTTATCGCATCATTTCCGATTTTGAAATTATGCAAGCCACATTCAACGTATTTTGCCACTCTAAACGTTGGAACACATCCTAGAAAATGCATTCATATCGCGTTGAAATCATCGACAAATTTAAAAGATGAATTAATTTTTTTTTAATGTTCAGAATTTGGTGAAATTGTCTGTTCAGTTTGGTGCTGTAATAACCATATGCTATGCTAAACACAAATCCTTCATTTAGATCGATTGCTCTGCTCAGCATGTCGAATTGATTTCGTTTTTTCAGATAAGGCAATCCAAGGGGGCGCAAGGAGGCCCTTCTGGATTTTTCTGACCAATTCATACAATAACGATGCTACAATGGTTTTGAGATATTCCTGAGCCGACATGAAGTCAAGAAACTTATTTATCACCAGGTTTTACATCGCGTAATCAAATATCAATCGAAAAAGTCATTTACGCAATTAATACCACTGCAACACCCAATATAATGCCTCCAGTCGAACCGATGATGACAGTTGTCGACGGTCGAAAAATCGAGATTGTGTCCACGACTACAATGTGTGTGTATATTTCCAACAGTTCCTACATCCCTGAGATGAAGTTTCGGAAATAAATGTATAAAATGGTCCAATAATGTCAGATTTAGGGACTGGTCACCGCTGTCAGCACGACGGACGAGTTCAGGTCCAAGTTGCCACCGAGATCGTTCACCAACTCCTGTCGAAAAAACGGGAAAAACCGAGATTTTCATCATGCCTTCAATGGTATTCCGTATATTTCTACCAGTTAATACACCCCTGAAATGAAATTTCGGAAATAAATGCACAAAACAGTCGAATAATAGTCAGCACGCCCGACAAGCTCAGGTCCAAGTAGACACCAAGGTCGTTCACCAACACCTACAGAAAAAATGGGAAAAATCGAGATAGCGTCCACGACTTCAATGTCATCTCTTCCACACACAGGTCACTAACTTATGTGAAGAAGGTACAATATCAAATGTAATTAATATTCAATAACAAAATATCGACGTTTAAGAAGCAATATCTCTCATCTCTAAAATAGCAGCTTTACATATACAGGGTGTAAATTTGAAAACTTCCAATGCGACTATTTTGCGAAAGAAAAAAGTTAGAAAAATGCCAAAGAGTTAAGGGGAACTAGAACCACCATATTTCGGTCAAGGGATGAGTCACCCCGTCGGCGCGACACACCCCAACTTTGAAATGTCAAATGGCACTACCTTTTTTGTGATGCCTCAAATGAACAGTCTCAGTCAGTAGTATTCACATGTACAAGACTTTTTTTCCACCCACTACAGGATGTACGAAAAATATAAAGTCGAATAAAATAAAATGAATTGTGTTAAATGGATATTTTATTTGACCAGATGTTCAAAATGCATTCCATTCTGTTGTAAGCAATAGTATAATCGATGTTCAAATGCCATTCTAACATTTTGGAACACATCTCTTGGAATATATCGGCATTCTGCATTTTATTTTATTCGACTTTATGTTTTCCGTTCACCCTGTAGTGGATGGAAAATAAGTCTTGTACAGGTGAATACTACTGACTGAGACCGTTCATTTGAGGTATCACAAAAGAGGTAGTGCCATTTGACATATCAAAGATGGAGTGTGTCGCGCCGACGGGGTGACTCATTCCTTTACTGAAGTATGGTGGTTCTAGTTCCCCCTAACTCTGTAGCATTTGTGCCAAACGACGTTTTCCTAACTGTTTTATTTCGCGAGATATTCGCATTGAAAGTTTTCAAATTTAGACCCTCGAATTAATGTTTTTCGTACACCCTGTAGTGGGTGGAAAAAAAGTCTTGTACAGGTGATTACTACTGACTGAGACCGTTCATTTGAGGTATCACAAAAGAGGTAGTGCCATTTGACATTTCAAAGTTGGGGTGTGTTACGCTGACAGGGTGACTCATCCCTTCACTGAAATATGGTGGTTCTAGTTTAGCATTTTTGCCAAGCGGCGTTTTTCTAACTTTTTTATTTCGCGAGATATTCGCATTGAAAGTTTTCAAATTTACACCCTGTATATATATTTCGTTATTCAATGATATACGAGGTAATCGTTGAAGTCAATTTGAAAGAGTAAATATTATTTTTCAACTTACGATCAATGGATTGGAGATACGAATGTACATCGATTTCAGTGAAAATGGAGTTACAAAATACAAGGTATTGTTGTTTCTCAAGTGTAGATATGTAGATTTCACTTGATTCAATAAACAAATAAAATAAATAACGATAATTATCATTATTATTACTACTATTAAACTACCTGTTGATTCGCCACCGTTTGCGATATGTTCGGATCCGTGATGGTGATGGGCAGATCCACATTCTTCGGCACCTGCGCCAGCACGTCCTCCTCCACCTTCTTGGCGTTGGTGCTGGGCACCTCCAGGGGCGTCATTATGGGCGCGCCCAGCGTCAGGCTGGTCTCCAGCACGCCGCCCACGCCCATCGGATAGAGGCCGCCTCCGCTGGGACTCGTCTTTTGCGGCGGGAAAACGTCGGTGTCTGCCAATGCGGCGGCCAAGATGTCGGTGCTCCTGTTGGGCTTCGAAACGCCCTTCGTACCCTTAATCCAGTAATAGTTTTATACATGGTGTTTCAAAAAAACCTAACCCCCTTGCTAGGGTAGGTAGAACAAAATAAGTTGGGTTTGCTCAGTGAACAAATAATGTCGTAACGGCACCCGTTTTCAAGATACAAGGTGTTGAAAAAATATTTTTTTACACATTTTTCACGTTTATGTCCAAACTACTGGCAACATTGTGATGAGGGCGCTAGTTACACGGTTCGTACCGAGTACTTTTGAACATAACTTTTTTGAGGTTAAATTTTTCAGTTCAAATTCAATGTGAACTTGAACACCATTCAATTTTACACCAAAATGATACTCTTGGTAGAACTCGATACTGTGTACCGTTTTCAAAATATTTCGATTTGAAAATACTGAAGCAATAACTTTGATTCTGGTATTAGAATAAATATTATAAAAAACAATTATCTATTTATTAAGGACGAAAAACATCAACATTATTTTACTGCTGAAGTTATGGATCAAACAAAATCACATCAGAAAATATTTAATTAAATTTTACTAAAAACATCATCTAGTTAGAAAGTTAGAGTAAGTGTTCAAGATGTCGTCCGTTTTCACGAACACACAATTCGATCCTTTTTTCTAAAGAATGTATCAATCTTCTCAACTGCTGAGGATCAGCTATGAGTTCATCGAAGTGATGTTCAATTCTTTCTTGCAGCTCTTGACGTGAATTCACCTCTGTAGCATAGACTTTTTCTTTAATATAGGACCAAACTGTGTAGTCCAATGGATTGAAATCACATGAACCTGGAAGCCAATCAATCGGAGCTTCTGCACCTTCACCAATCCATCGATTTGGATAATTGTTGCTCAACCAATCACAACACCTTTTATCAAAATGTAGGGGAGCTCCATCATGCATTTGGAACACTCACTGATTGAATATAACAAGTTTTAGTTTAATTTATTTAATCTTTTTTTCATGACTCTCTGTTCAATTGATAAATCCCACATCAGAATAATCTCATTAGTTTTGATTATCAATAAATAAGTGATAGTCTTTTATAATACTCACTTTCAACTACCATCAGTGTTACACTGGCATCTTATGCATTTATTTTTTAGAAAAATAATCTGGTTGGGACATGGCTTGACTAAAGACTCCTTGGATAAAAATAAGTTGATTTTAGCCAACTTACCTATATCCAAAATCGTTTCGTTGAGTTGTTACAAGGCGTGAAAGTGGTCACCTTAGGAACTGAATAGTTATCGCTAAATTTGTGACGCGAGAGTTCTTGTAAAGCCCGCGAGGACCAGCAACATATCAGTTCGTTTAAAATAAGTATACATTGTAGCAATGATCAATAACCAGTCCGACTAATTAGATAAATCTTCAAAAATGCGCAGGATGCATTATATCAGAAATTATTTATTTGCAAATGAATCTCGAGACTTTCAAAAATTAACAGGATACAAAAAATATTTCTGAAAGGAATATTTTTCTGGAAAAAAGGGAGTTTCCAGTCTGACCTCTGAAAAGTTATCACCAAATTTGTACGGCAACATGGTTGTTTGAAACACTTGCAGGTCACTGATGATGATCAGAAACATCTCAAAACGTGACTTACAGTCACAGAACATGCCATGCCAAAAATTATGAAAATCGATCTCAGCCTACTGTTTGTATGAGCAAAATTATTTTTTTCCAAAAAAACTTCAACGCCTTGTACCAACACAACGAGGCGATTTTGGATATAGGTAAGTTGGCCTAAATCAACTTGTTTTTATCCCAGGAGTCCACAGCCGAGCCATGTCCCAACCTTTTACAGACACCCTGTATATAAATCTGTGAAAAAAGTACTCACGTTCTTCACGTGGGAAAAAAGTAATTTATCAAAAGTGACATTTCATAACTTGTCAACAGAGATGAAATGTTAAACTTTTTTTCTCGTCACGGAAAAAATAACTTTGTGTAGCCAAATAGTTGAATTTTGAATATTGATTATCCTGTCAACTATTTTTTGACAGAATTTGTATATTTCCAAATCTAATTGCATGTATTACCTCCAAATGCTCGGACATCATCATCTGGCTATCATTATTCGCGTTGATGAGGATCTGCTGGTCGCCGGCTTGAATCAAAATGCTCTTCCCTTCAGCATTGGCTATAATATTAGCCAAATCCGTGGAGCCCTCTGTGAGCGACTCCAAGAACTTCTGCGTGGCTATCGGGTCCCCAGTGACTATCAGCTGTTGGCCCGGCTCGCCGTTCGTGCTAGGGACAATGGTCTGCACGTTGGTAGGGGCAGCAGGGATGGTAAGTTCCTGTGGTAGGGGGGGTTCTTGGTATTCGGTGTTTATCATCGGTATGGACACCGAGGCGTTGTTGACGGGGATTTCTATTTTGGAAGTGCCTAGAAGACAATCAAACGATGTTTCAATGTTCCATTGTTCTCGACCCATATCAAGTAATTTTTTTCAATTAGACTATCATGTTTTTCTTAACATTTTAAATTTGGATTTTAGGTCGTATTGTCTGATGGTCGTTGAGCCGAAATCAGTCACTATGTGATTATTTTTATGTTCTTATAAGTGTGTTCGACCGACTTAATCCTAATTGTGGCCTATACAGATGACACTACTGTACTGGTACTGGTGGGGGACGTTTGCACGTCAGCAACTAGTCCCTAATGGGACCTTTTTGCAAGCCCCAAGGTGTTTTCAATGAATGATGTGGTTTGCTTTAGAGAGCTGGCAACATCCTTTTCAGGCACCGCCCATCAGCTCTCTTTTCAGGGTTTTTCGGCTGTGTTTTGTAGGCTAGTAATTTATTCTCTACCATATGCCGCAGTGGCAGGCCTGCTGGCTATCCTCGTTAACTCCCGTTAGAGACAGAGGTCCACTAAGCAGCTGGCCTGCTCTCACGCTCAGCTGGTAGTTTTCCACACCCACCTACATACACCGTCCTACTTCTACTCTGATGCTCACAACCACATCATCATCTCTTTCTGCGTGTTCTGTGTAGGCTTTGTTACTAACTCCATGCGCCACTTTAGGAGCAGCACTGTTAATTGGAATGCAACAGCGACTCGTGCAGGACTATCCCCAGCCGATGCTCCGAAACTTTACAATATTTAATTCGTAAATAAAATATTGAAAAAAGTTCCTTGCTCGTGCTGGGAATCGAACCCTCGACCTTGCGGTCGTAAGACGGACGCTCTTCACTGCGCCAATGCAGATGACACTAACTTCGGCATAGATGGTAAAACCAACAGTTCGGTACCTGAAGCAAAGGACCCCACACTTTCCTTAATGAAAATGGCTTTCGGTTAAATTCCCTGAATTTTTGGTATGATGTAGATTTTGACTCCATAAGCAAAAGTGTCTATGTGCACAAAGAAATCGGCTGACTAGTTTTCGAGATACAGAGTGTCAAAGATGAAAAGTAAAGCTTTTATATTATATTTTTCAATTTGAATAGTCCGATAAGCTTCTTGTATTATAATTATTATTATTATTATTAATTTCGCATGATCTGTACAAAAATGTCCAGTAACGAAAAACGTATTTTTATTTGTAGTAACACATTTGATTTCATCAGTTATCTGAGGAGTACTAATCTCACCTGCTTGTAGAGTTTCTCCGGGATGGCTCAGCTTCACTGTGGCAGCCTGAGCCAGCGGCAAAGGCTGTTCCACCCCGCTGCTCAAAGTCCCCTGATCGATCTGCAATACCATATTGCTCAAATCCCCTCCCAGGCTCAAATTCGGGTCCAGCGACATCAGCGCCTCGTTATTCAAAGGCGTTAAATTCCCGGAATGATCCAGAGTCACCAAGACGTAAGAGTGGGGTTGACCCCCTATGGTTTCGTTCGGCAAAGCCAGGATCTGACCTTCCGTTATGGTCGTCTGGTTGCCCACCGCGTCTTGGATAACCAGCTGGTTCAAGGGTCTTTCCGGCTTAGCAGGTTCTTCTGGCAAAGGAGGTGGTTGAGTCACAGGCACTGGCGGCTTTTTGGATGTGCCAACTAGCGGAGGAGGAGTACCCAAAGCTTCAGTTCTAGGTGAAGCCGGAGATGGAATGGACAGCATCGGTACCGGTTTCTGTTTCGGCTCAACCTTTTTGGGATAGGACCTCTTGGGAGCTTTATGGACGATTTTGTTTCCGGGATCCGCGAACTTCGAGCTAGTTCCGAACTTCATCCCAGCACTGGCTTTGATAGCTTCCAGCTGTGCTGCCACCTGCTTCTCAATGTCATCGTCAGTGGTAGTTATCTTCTTGACTGTCTGACCGTGCTTGGTGGTTATGAGAATCGTCTTGGGAGTCTTGCCTCCTTGCGGTTTTTGAGTCAAAGTAGTAGCTTTTTTGGTTACTGTTTTGAGTCCCCTGCCAGTAAGCGTGGCTGACGTCATAGGCTGGCTGGTGATAGGCACTAAACTAGGACTGGCACTCGCTTTATGAGTCATCATGGTGGGGATCTTAGACACTACAGGTTCGAGAGGCGGTACACCCTTAGGAGACAAGATAGTTTTTGGCAACATGTTACTCTTCACTACGGCTTTGGCGAGTTTTTGTCCTGGGTTTTGGTACCCTAGCATTTTCTGCTGTGCCGGAGTGAGAAGTAACCTTTGCTGTTGTCCTTGCTGATTTGTTACTATCATTATCTTATTTCCTGTAGGTTCGGGAGCCACACTGGGAGAACCGGAGGATACAGATCTTTTCGCCATGGCTTTCTTGTTCATAAATTGTTGTTGGGGCATCCCTAGCGAACCTTGTGGTACCAAGATGTATTTGCCCGACTTGGTCGTACTTGGTGGCATGGAGGTAGGGGTTTTGCTTGGTTTACTAACAGTTTGTAGAATCCTTGGCCTACTCAATTTCGGGGTGGTAATGGTTTTCGTGGTTACGGCAGGTGGCGCTGTGACTGTCGTGACTTTTGTAATAATTTTAGGAGGTACAGTCTTTTTCACAATCATCTTTGTTTGTGCTTCGGTCTTGGTCACTGTATCGCCACCAATCACTATTGGCATGTTTTCTATACTTTCGGGGGTCAATATTTCATCTGATAAAACTATTGGCATGGAATTGATATCAAATTCGTTATCATCTTGTGAAGTGTTAATTGACACTGGGCTCATTGTAGGTAGGCTAACAGCAGCTGTAACTGCTGCAGTGAGAGTCGTTTTCAATATCTGCGTTTTTACAGATGAAGAGGCGATGGAAGGACTAAGTGAAGGTATGTCCACGGTAGGTGATTTTAAGATTGTTGGCTTACCCAAAATGGGTTTCACAGTGGATTTTTTTGCTTTGCTGGTAGCAGGTTGTATAATCTCGCCGGCAGGAGTGATGATGGTCTGTTGCAATATCTTCGCCTTCCCAGCACCTCTAGGTCTACTTGACTTTCTTGGTGGTTTGGTAGGAGAAAGGACCTTTGGCAATACCTCTTTTTCTTCGATATGCTTTTTGAGATCTTTGTGGATAACAAAAGCTTCCACATCCTCAATATCATCCATCAAGGTCTGCTGGGGTTTTTCGGTTACTCTCCCTGCCTTGCTGCTCGCTGGTCTTATGATTTGTTCTGAAATGATTATTGGTTTGACTTTCAGTTTCGTGGTATTTTGCGAGTTCTTCTTGCATAATTGACCTGCTGTGTTGACAATGACATCTTGATGTGTCACCAGAATAGTGTCAGTAGGACTATCCTTAGCTGTAATGGCGGTGCTATGGTCGGTTGTTTTGTCTTCGGTCAATCTCTCCATCAACTTAGTAGTAGTAGACATGATGGAAGACTTAGTAGGAGACTCTTTCTTTTTCATTTCATCTTTGATCTCATCGATGTCTTGCTTGAACTTAGCAGAGCATACGATTTGTGATGGAATGTGCTCCTCGAAATCGCAGATATCGTCCGTGAATGCTTTGCCTCTTGATTTAATGTCTGCTTTTTTATCAAAATCAGAGTTCCCTTCGAGTATATCGAGTAATTCACATCGCTCGTAGGTATTAGATTTCTTATTATCAGCCTTAGGCCTCATCTCCTTTGTCATAGCATTGGAGCTGAACTCAGTGCCCTTGGAATCAAATTCAATTATCTTACTAGCATCGCAAGTATCAACGGTGCTAATACTGTCGTTTGTCGAATCTGAGAAATCAACTGAGAAATGCGATACAGCTGAAGGTTTCTTCGCACTTATAACTTTTTCTGCAGTTATCTCAACCTGACCGTCTGCCAAATCTTTCTCAGAAACCACAGTCAAATTTGCCTCTATAGCAACCAATTCCGGTTCAGAGATCTTTTCGGAAAAGACTATATCATTTTTCTCTGGACTTTCTGCAGAGGTATTGCTGTCACTGTCGAAACTACTTTTCAATTCAGCCAACGAAGTTAGAGCTAAGGCCGATAATTCCTCTCGACTAGAGAGGTTCGATAGGTTGGTTTGAATGGAAAATTTAAGAAAATCGTTCTCATTGTTGGCACACTGAATTTCTACTTCATTATTGTGTACCACTGCATCAACAGATGAAGCATCCTTCGTGGTTTGATCGTTTTGTAATACTATATCAGATCCGACTGTTTGTTCTAATTGAATGACAGGTGGCTCATGATCACTTTCTGATTTTTCTCTTTGATCAATCATGATTTCCTTTTCTCCACCTTGAACAGATAGTTCAGCAGAATTATCAACATCATTTTCTTTCGTTGCAACAGGTGATTCATGGGTGATTTGATCGACAATCATTTCATGTGTTCTATCTTTGGGTGCCTCTAAATATTCAGACAGATCGACTGTTTCGCCAACATCATAATTGCCCTCTTGTTCTTGCACTATATTCCCTCCTTCAATCTCTCCATTCATATCGATATCTTTCATTTCAACGAAACCTTCGTTAGATATTTCTTGTAGTTTCTCAATTGTTTCATGGTGTGATTCTACAATCACTGGCTGGGTAGTTTCTTCTGTTTCCTTGGTGATGCTTTCAGAAGTTATGTTCGGCTCAATCACATTCTGACTCATAGTATCTTCTTGTACCTTTTCAATTTCAATATTGGTGTTATCCAGGGTATGAATTTCGACGGTATGATTTTTCAAAGTCTCAGGATCGACAGAATCATCGCCACTGCCAGAATTGTTTTCAGCTTTGTCAATATCAGGTTCCTCTAAGGCTTCTTTGTTAGAATGAGTTTCGTGTAAGTCTGTTTCTTGCTCCAACTTGGATATTTCGTCATGTTTATCAACTGTTGCTTCATTATTCACTATCTCAACAGTTTCACTAATGCCACCGACAGAACTATCTATTTCGGAATGTTTTGCATCTTCCTTGATATCTGTTATTGGTGAAATATCTGGATCCACCTGCTGATCACATTCCTTTTCGGCACCAATATCAGAGTTCATTGTGTTGTCGTTATTTTCAGTACTTTCCTCGATATTGGCCAGTACAATCTCCTCGTCAATAATCTCAACGCATTCAATGTCACTCTGAACAGTACAAACTTTGTCAACTGATGCAGTGGAAGGTTCTTCTTGGTCATGCTGTTCAATATTTGAAATAATTTCATGAACGATTTCCTCAGTGACAACTGTTTCCTGTATCGAATCATGTGGAACAGTAGTCAAGCCATCATCTAGAGAAATTTCTTCAGTGATAACTGTTTCCTCGGTCACTTGAACATCAGAACCTTGTTCCACTTTATCAATTTGAACAATTTCTTCAGCTTCTACAGCTAGAATTTCAGAGGTAGACTTTTCTTCTGACAGACTTGCGTTAGATGATTGCTGTTCAGTTGCCGTAGGGGCAACTTCAGAGATATGAAGATCCTGCTCAATTTTTTGTACTGGCTTTTCGGTTTCCTTCGAACGCCTCCTTTTCTTCGAGGAAGATTTATGCCTTGAATGCTTACGTTTTTTCGGTTTCTTTGGCTGTAAAATTGCATCTTCAGGCAAATGGAGACTCGCTTGACCTATCGGTGAGAAATCTTCTCTTTCGGTCTGTGAAAGGAGACCAAATGAGAGAGAATCTTCTTCTGTAATTTTGGAATTCTTCGTGTCTTCAGAATCTATCATTTCTTCAGCATCGTTTTGAGAAACTTCATATACGTTTGAAGAGTCGGTTTTGTATATTTTTTCTCTAGATTCATCAGCACTGTCTTCAGGTATTATTGGCTGTGTAGTTTTTTCAATTTGAGTACAAATATCTACTTCGTCGTTAGTTGTTTGCGATTCCTCAACTTCCAGTTGAGAAACCTCTTCAGTATTGCCATTATCAATTTCTGAGATAGCTGTTGTTTCAATCTCAATATCAGCATCAACTAGTTCATTATCAGTTTTGTTATCCCTTTGTTTCATTTCTGATTGACTATCAATCTCATCGGACAAGGAATGCTTATCATTTTCTGATAATTCATCATTTTCTTGAGAGTCCTGCTGATTCAAGATGTTTGAAATATCTTCAGATACTGCTTGCTGTTTTTCTGATTGGGTCGTATCATTATCTTTTGATATGCAAGATTCCTCTACCTCTAGCTGATTCACAATTCCAGATACTACTTCTTGTATTTCTGCATATTCGGCAGTATCATTGTGAGAACTACTGATGTCCTCATAATTAGGAACAGAAACAGTAGCATCCTCCACATCTTCGGTATCTGAGATTTCAATCGATTCCTCAAATTCTGATTTTTCCTTACTTTTAGGAATTATTTTAGAGTTCACTTGATGGGCAATTGTATCGACCTCGGAACCATTTACTTCTCCTTTATCTCTGAAATCATCGTTATTTATTTCAGCAGGTTCTTCAATTTGCTCTAGATCTATTACTTCGTCTTCTATTCTTTCATCGAGTGTTTCCCTCAATTCTTCAACATTTTGTGGATCCTCAACATGTTGTAGATCCAAAGGTGTTTCATTACATTGCACTGAATCCTTTGATTGCACATTGTCTGCTACAGAACTTTCAGGAATATTGTCTTCTGCCCTCTGAGGAGTACTTGAGGGGTTTCCTGTTTCGGCTTGATCGCTATCATCATCATCCATTGTCGACAAATTCCTGTGTTTCTTCCGATAACTCCCTCTCCTTGACTTCCTCTTCTTTTTTGAGATTCCCAATGTTTTCCTCTGGTTTTTACTACTGTTTTTTGTTGTCTCCTCCAGCATAACATCCTCATCTGGTACTTCTATAATTACAGGCTGTGCAATCTGGTTTGAGGCTTCTTCGTGTTGTGTTGTATCTTCTATTACTGTCTCAATCACTTCTTCGATTGGTAAGTTTACAGTTACTGGTTCAATTAACTGCTTCGTGACATCATCGGATTCTTTCAGTACTGTGTCTATTATTTCTTCATTCGTTGATTCTACAATCACCGGACCATGTTCGATGGCATCACTATTGTTTGTAGTTTTCTCTAGCACTGTTTCGTTCACCACCTCGTTTTGTAAACCTTCATTTACTGGGTCATTATTCTTCTCTTCCACTGTCTCGTGGTCTGATATTTCTACAACTTCGTTACTCTTATCATTCAAGTATGACTCCAATATTTTATTGCGAGGAGTCCTTTGCTCTTTCTGCATTTTGGACATTATTTTGATTTTCGATTCTTCATTTATGTTAGCTTCTGCGACTATTCTGGACAATATTTTTGTTTTTAATTCGATCTCAGAATTAGTGTGTTCATCTTCAGGTAACTGGCTCGAGGTGCTTTCTAATTGACTTTCCTTCTCGATTCCACTATCAGTCTTTGTTTTCGAACCTCGAACATATTTCTTATGTTTTCTCACCTCCTTCTGTTCAATCTCTTTCTCAAAATCCTCGAATGATTTCGCAAATCTCTTTTTTGGATTGATGAGTTTTATAGGAGTTTCAGGCTGGTTCTTGTCCACAGAGGACGTCCGATCGTTTTCCGATTTGTCGTCAGGAACTTCCGATTTTTTTCTCTTCGGCGAACTCCCAATTTCCTCGGGCTTATCTGGGAATTTTATTGTCTTGACACAGTGAAAATTTTGCTCGCATTTGAGCGTGTTACGCACCTCAGGTAACTGAGGCACAACGGTTTCTTCCATCAACTCTTTGAAAGTGGCATCTATTTCTTTGCTGATACCTTCACTTCGTCGGTTGAAACTTTCGCTCACTTTCAAGATTTCTTCTTTATCGAATGCGGGCAACTCTTCTTCTTGAGCGAACAAGTCGTCGTCAGACCTCCTTCTTTCAGTAGGCGGAATCACCCTTGGAATTTTTCTGCCACTCGCAGCAACTGTGTTGATTATGATCGCGTGCTCATCCTCTTCGTCTTCGTCGAAGTCGAAGCAAGACTTGATGGCTTCCTGAGTCTCCTTATCCATTTTTGGTTTCTCAGTTTTCTTTGCTTCCGGTTCTATTACGTCATCCTCGATTGTTACAATGTCTTCTTCGACTATTACAGTCTCTTCTTCAATAATTACATCATCTTCGGCTTCTACTGTCTCTTTGGCATCTTCTTCTTGTGATGAAACTTCGTTCATCGTCTCATCGAATACGGCAGAAGATTCTTCTCTACCGGTATCGTCCAAGCTTTCAGCTAGTCTACTGTCGTCTTCAGTAACACCGTGCTGGATAGAATCTTCGTTTGTGGTGCACATTTCATCTTCGCTCAGACCCCACTCTGCCAATAGATCGCTGCGAATGTCGGTTTTCTTTTTTGGTTCGTTTTCCTCCCTGCTATCAGACAAGACGTCACTCTTCCTCGCCGATTTATCTTTCTCAGCGTTAGAAGACTTTCTTGTGGCACTACTTTTGGTTTTCCTTTTTTTCTGCTTGGGAGGTTGCAAGACGTCGTTATCGCTCGAATTGGAATCTGTTTCCGTTGTGGCGTCTCCCACATGAGATTTTCTGGTCTTTTCTCTCTTCTTCCGAATTGCCACCGGCCTTTTTGGCCTCCTAGGACCGGGTACATAATCACCTTGTATGTGAGATTTCGTGTGTAGTACCAAGACTTCCAAACGTTTGGTGGTGAAGCTGCAAGAGTGGCAGGTGAATTCTTGTTCGGGTTCGTTGTTGATGCGGATGACTTCCTCATCTTCGGAATCGTTAAACGTTCTGTCTTTCCCTGGATACTGAATGCAGATGTAGGCTTTGTAATCATCGGCCCCGAGGAATCTTCTATGGGTGATGTAAGCAGTATCTCTCGACGAATTTTCTGGGAAAAAAATAGCAAAGTGATGAAATGCAAGTCGAGCGTAATTTGAACTTTGAACTTACTCATTGAGTGACGTTGCTTCTTGTCCTTTAGACCTTTCCCTTTCGGACTTGGGGTGCCGAAAATTTCGGCAACGATGTTCGTTCTCTTTTCTGGGATGAAAATAGGATCGCTGAGGATATTCGGGTTCCCGCCGGTTTTTTCTTCAGCTGTCGTAACGTCCTTGGGGAATTTTTCCATGTGGGGATGTTTGGACCGGAAACCGGCTGAAAATTGAAAATTTAGAGACGTTGTCTTCAAACATTTCCAATAGATACATACCCATGCCTTTTTTGATGAAATCATTTTTCCTTTCACAATTGTATGGATATATTGATGACCAACTCTTAACATATTCACTGAAAAAAAGCGTACACATTACGATTTAGTGTTGGTGAAAGATTAAGTCAATGAGTCGATCGGTTAAAATCTTCTAAAATATGTGTCCCTCATAGCTCACAGTGTCGGTAGAATAATAATCATATGTCCAACATTTTGCGATCACTTCTCAGTAAAAATAAAGCCATAAAATGCATAAATATATACTTTTTATTGAAGAAAATACACCAATATAGAGAAGCATGCAAATAACAAAATAACAAGTAACAAATTGAGTGAAAAAAAGACTAAAATTAGAAATAAAAAACACACACTTTACATCAATATCTTTATTTTCCGTAATAAAACATACAGACAGACATGCGATATTTTATAAGGCCACTTAATTCTACTTCAAAAACCAACAAAGGTTTTCAGAACTTGACAATGAAATCTTCTTTGGAATTTTGTTTCCTCTCAATGGGAGCTAATATTTTCAGTCTCACCAGTGTAGGGCTACTAAAACGTGAGGTCAATGTCAAAGTCAAAAATCCCAAAAATTTACCGGATAGCCCTAAATACTTCGACCTGTTCAATCGAGAATATTAGAAAAAAAGAAGTATATGGTGGACAATAAATAATGTCAGCCCTCATTGAGATCCTAATTTTTTCATTATCAACCACCTATGATTCATTAAAATGTAATATGGTACCTCAACATTGTTTTTTTTCGGTTTCAATATATGTGTTATTTTATTTCTGACCAGGATATTATAAGCTAATATCGTCATAGCTCCCTTGGGAAATTATAGATTCTATAATTCCCTCTACCTGTAATTTGATCAGACCGTAGCACACTTGCCATCTGTTGAAATACAATTGGGAACTTCAGAAATATTAGTTATTCAAACAATAAATTTTCAATTATGTATTGGTAATATTCCTATTTAGCAATACAAAATCATTTGTCTCAAAATGTTTCCCTATGACTTGTGGCCATATCTAATGCATTTGTGTAAATATCAATTATATTAATAGAGGACATTTGAAGCGGTGAAAGTGACAACACCGCGCGCACAACTTGTGGGCGTGGCCTTGTCCCTTCTCAGCATTCAGCACAATGTTGCCAAGTCTCCAACAATTACATGCAATTTTGGACATGCTGGTTGCTCGCAAGAGTCAAGAATGAACTATAATATGGGTTCCTCCTATTATGTTTTATTCAACGACAGGATTCTAACATCTTTTTGATAACTTGATTATAATTGGTGACTTGACAACCTTGCTTCGTGAGTGGGAATGGAAGATTATCTGGCCAATAACGAAACAGCATAAAAGCTGACGTAATCATTTAATCGACTGTTAGAAACACTCCAGAGATACCCACCAAATTACATTAATCACTATAGTATTATATTATCATTATTATTATATATGTTGTGTGATTCAGTACCATCACCCCGTATTATGTTTAGAATATCGACGGGTGCTGGTTTTATGACTAAGAGATATTGAATGCATGATTAAGGAGTTACATAAGCTAGATAAGAGAGGGTGACAGGGAATAGTTAGGATGACCAGTAGAGTTGAGACTAGAGAACTGTAAAGGTGTTATTGTGCTAAAATACAAACTTGATATTTGAAGACGTGGATATTATTTAAGCAGCTTCTCAGTTGTCCCCCCGTAACACGACGTATCGCCAAATAGTCGCCATGACGGTTCGTTTGAAATGAGCTCCGAAATTCAACAATTTCGAACAACGCATACACTCATTATTTACATAAAAAAAGTGTGAGGAGTGTTGCAAAAATCAATTTGAGTCCCTTACCACACAGTGTAGTAACTGAAGTCCACTCGCCCATTGCTGTCCCTGGGGCTTGGGGGCTTTGCCATCGGTAATTGAGGCTCTTATAATTCTCTTGATAGATAAATAACTATTATCACATTACATTATAAAATGTGTGGTGAATTAAAGAAATAACACTTATATTTGATCGAAATTTTTGCCATGTTATCTGATTTCCCAAAAATAGCAAATTATTCTAATTTCCAATTTAAATCACATTTTTCAATGGAATATAAAAATTATATATCTTTAAAATCGGACGATATAATTCACTTTAATAAAATATAAGGTATTCCATTCAAAAATATTACTTTTAACAATTCTTGTATACAAAATCGGAATTGAAATCGTTCAAAGATCAGAAAATCGCATGCAAGATTCTGTTTTGAAGCTCAATCTGTTCATTGGTTTCCGAAATCTTGGAATCATAGTCAATCACTCGGTATATTTAATGAATTCAAAAATATGTTTTGACATTCTTTCAACACCTATAGAAAATCAAGATTATTATAATCGTCATTTCTATCCCAGACTAGGGTTTTGAGGACGAAAACCTTTGCCTCAGTATGACAGTGACAACAAAATAAACCCCTGAATCGAAACGTATCTTCTTTTGTCTGTATTTTTTTTTTCATAGGAAACTGATAAGCTCTGAATGTTCAGTATAAGAATGTAAATGGACGTCAAACAATGACTCACTTACCTATCAGGTTTGACTCATTGAAGTGCTAAATCATAACAAATAATAATAATTGTGAAACTGCTTTGATTGCATGCATAGATACAAGGCCACAAAATTCATTCATAAATTCCTTCAAGTTCTTTTCACATATACACCCAGAAAATGAAAGTTTAATCTATCAGTATTCAAAATACAAAAATTTCAAAATTTAATCTAAGACCATTTTGGTTACATGGTCACCTCTACAAAGGACTTGAAAAAAATCTAAAAATGGTAGATTTTTTTCAGAGTATTATATTTTAAAATTATTCCTGGTCTAAAGTAATAGGCTGGTCACAACTTGAAATGAAATTTGCATCGTCTCCAGAGCGTTTGTCCATTTTCTGATCTATAATTGATCCAGAATGCCTGTTTTAATTTTTGCCACATTGATAAAAATCAGTAAAACGACCTACCCTCTCTAGTTTAAATAATACTTTTCTCCAAATGACATTAAAAGTGGCTTTATGATAACACTCCACAGGCAGAAAAGGTATACTTTTCAATCAATTGGTAATCAGAATTGACAATGACTTTGGGTGAACAAAAATGATGGATTATTTGGACTTTGCGTGAAATTGAAAAGAATTTGGAGAAAAAATAATGTTTCACATGGCAGAAAAGAAGATGTAATGCCTTGGCTGGTTTCCTAGCCTCGGTTATGCCTAGGCTATAAAACGCCAGCCGCGGCATTAAATCGTGTACTTTTCTGCCTAGTGAAACAAATAACTATCATACTGATTCCAAACAAACTCTGGCTGTTTTCATAACCGTTTTTATTTTTTGCACATTCATGAAAACCAGATCTAAGAAAAAATTCAAATCTTCGTTAGCCCTTTTTTTTAACCTAAAATATTTATTATCCTGGTTCCTGGTTCCGAATTTGAATGAATTTGTGACTGTTAAAAATATTGTTTTCGTCGACCTCTACAAAAAATCACATTACGTTCTAATTTTCGAACGAAAAAACGACTATTTCTGAAGTGTTTTTCGTTCGCAGACTCTTTTCGTCCGCTACAGGGTTGCCAGTTTTACTGAATTTTCAGTAGATCTCCTGTTTTGCATATTAATCTACTGAAATATTTCATTTTTTGAATTGACTCGGCCGTTACTTGATGGAAATCCATGATAAATGTAAAAACTTCACAAACGATAAGTTTTCCACAAAATTTATTAAACACACGACATGTTTCGCTAACACAGTAGGCTACTGTGTTAGCGAAACATGTCGTGTGTTTAATAAATTTTGTGGAAATCTTATCGTTTGTGAAGTTTTTACAGAAATATTTCATAATCTACTGAAGAATATTTTGATACTTATTCATTATTATAATTACCCATATTATTATTAATCTTCAGTGAATCACATACAATCATCAATTGCATGCTATTTCTGATGCTCTGTTCAAATTAATTTTACCAAATAAGCAATAAATGTACAGTCATATTGAAATAAAAAGCGTTCAAGTATATTGGAGGGAGAAATTAACGTCATCCTATTTGCGTAAAACGGGCTACCGGGAATGAATGTTTATCAAATGTTGACAGTAGAGTAGGTTCTCAAAAACACAAAGCATTGGCAGAGCCAATTTGACACAAGGAGAACTAGAATACCAAAATCTTCTATGTTTAATACTTGTACGCTTTTTTATTGAATACGACTGTACATATGGGTACTAATGATATGTATAAACGAAAAAGGACAATACTTTATCTGCTTCAGATCAAATTCAATTTTTTATATATCTCTGTTATTACAGTTCATTTCTTACGTTTATTTTGTTTTTATTTGTCCGCAGACACTAACTTTTGGTCCGTTGCAGTGTTGCCAGTTCTACTGAATTTTCAGTAGATCTCCTGATTTGCATATTGATCTACTGATCCTATTGAAACATTTCATAACATACTGAAAAATATTTTGACACTTATTTATAATTATAATTACCTATATTATTGTTTCTTATGGTCAATTTTTCATTTGTTTTGCATTTTTGTGGTTCATTTTTACTATTCTTTCCTGTTTTTTATATACTCAAATCTTATAAGTATTTATGTAACTGTATTTTGTGAGTATTTTGAGAAATAGGAATATGACTATTTTTGTATGAGAATGTTTGTTTTGTTTGTCTCTATTTTCTTGGAAATAGGTTACTTTTCTCTTTACTTGTTTTGACATCATATGTTTATTATATTAATGAGAAGAAATGGAGAAGAAGATCATTCTAACCTTTTTTATATTGAGGTTAATATGATCTTCTTCTCTATTTTTTCTTTTTCCCATTTCCAATGTTATCAACATAAAATTTCATTTATCGCACATTGGAACACTGAAGACAGGGGCAGATGGGAAAGACATTGTTTCCTCTCTCAAAGCTAGCAAAACTGCTCAATATAAAAATAATTTATTAGAATTTATATGTATGTCATTGATTCTGGCATTGATCTCATGCATTTATGTGATAAATGACCATAAATGACGGTCATATGACTGGTCAAATGACTGGTCATGGTCACGATTTTTGAATAACTGTCATTTCACATCACTGTTCATACTGATTTGTCAGAAGGCAATACAAACAGAGATCAAACAATAATATGCCCATTTCAAATTTGAACAAATGGGGCTCTTTAATTCTTCTATGCACTATAACTGTGTGATATATTAAAGAAAACATGCAACATCCCTTTACAATTTGCACATACAACACTTACCTACTCTCTGGAAAAACAAGAAAATAATTCTCTTCCACATTGTTTGAGAATGAGATATATCAAAGGATCAAGAATTTATACAGGGTGATAATTAATTGAGGGCCAGGGTGATTTCAAGTTGAAAAATTCATATCAACATATGTCCTAAACCTCTTAGTTTTTGAGCTACAGGGTGTTGAAATCAGAGGCTTATAGTTTTTTTTAGCAAAACATCAGGTCTATGTGAACATCACTGGTTAAAGTAAAAAATTAATATTTATTCCAAAACAAAATTTGTTTTCAGTCATAATTGGTGCCTACTAAATTTTAACAACTGAAGAACTGAAGAAAAAACATTGATTGGTTAAAGTTTTTATGCGAAAATCATCCTATAAAAGTAAGTCTAGAAACCAAATTTGCTCCAAAATGAATGGGGATTTCAGTTTTAAGAAAAACCATTGGCATACCATTTTCTTCTTCAAACCACATCACTGTTGAAAATTAGAAAAAAATCTTTCATGTCACAAAATGCTTCTTGACTATGGAAAGATGTGTACAATATTTAATAAAACTATCTAACAGTGATGAAAAATTATGATTGAAAACTCACTTTCTTCATAAAATCACCAAACAAGTTTTTTTCCTTATTTAATCATGCAATGATAGCAAATCTACTAAATCAATGCTAAATAATTTGTAGAACATCTAGTCACATGGCTTTCATGACATAAAACTAGAGATCATTTGTATTCCTCATTGTTTCAGTTGTGAAGATGACAGCACCCAGATTTTTTAAATCTTTGTCAATCAGATTGTAATAGGTAGTTTGATGTGTATTCACTAGACTTCAAATAGGACAGTTGATTGATTGGTGTTGGTGATAAGGAATACATTTCTATGTTTCAATACTTCCAAACCATATTTCCTACCTGTTTGATTGAAGGTGATGAAATTGGTCTGAATCTTGACTACTTGTGAGGTAGTAAAGAGGTTTCAACTATCTGATCAAAGAACCAAACAATAATATTTAGAGTAGCAGCTGAAGCTTATACAAAATATATTGATACTCACTATGAATCTTCATCAAAGAACTTCACAATAACAAGAGGGATCTTTTTGAAATCCTCTTTAGGTAAACTGTCAAGATCTTTCACTTCTCCTGGCCACCAGCTTGGGCCAAGTTTTACCCAGACAATATCTTTGTCCTTGTATTTATATTCAGATTCAGATTCTTCACTCATTTTGGAGGCAACTGCAGTGCACTGTCAAAAATTGTATACTGAAACAATAACAAGAGCTGTATTTTATGGACTGTAATAGTTTATCCAATATTTCCCGCTTTTCTCAGCGATACTTGGATAATGTTAGTTTGTTTCATTCCAAGCAATAATTGAATTGCAATTTTTCATACCAACAATGATGGTCAACATGATCTGCGCAATATTGGAAATCACAGAAGATATAGTTTCAATTCGGGTTATTTTATTCAAAATGAAAAATACCTCAAGAAATAATTTTCAGCAGTTTGTTTGCTCGTGAAGTTTATTTTACGTACCTATTTGAATTCTTCGAAAATAGCAACAAATTCTACTTGTCAGAAACCTTCATTATTCTCTTGTTTGGCGTCGCCATGTTGCCAACATAGAACATAATTTTACATTTCAAGATGGAAGGCGCAAAAGCTGCGAGAGCAAGAAGTGGTTTCTGAATTGTAAATGTCCTGAATTTTTGTGAATTTTCGAGAAATTTTCGAAGTTACAGTGCATTTATTCGCAATCTATTGGTCGAATACAAACTTACATCACATAAACAGAAAAATGTCTATAATTTAAGATTTTTTTTATGTTGGATTGGTAGCAGTGAAAACTGAAGGCTGAAGGAAAGCACGCGCTTGCGCGATGAGTATAGCGCTGTTGCCAGTGGTTGAATTTCAAGATTGGTGAACTAGACAGATAGCCTAATGAATGACAATCGTGTATCTAACGATACTCTGCAGTTTGCCTACTCATTCAAATATTCTGAAACAATTATGCAACGGGAAAACAGATGGAGTCACATAACACTATGAAGTAATATTGTTTATCTGATGGCATGTCATAATGACAATGTTATGTCACTCAATTTTGATGACATAAGGAAGCTCATTATGGGACTAAGTAACATAATGAATTCATTATGGTACTAAGACTAAGTACCATAATGAAATTCTATAAGGAAAACATGTAATGGTTTGATCAAAAAAGTTCATTCAAAATGCATAACTATGTACAAAACTATTCATTATAAATGGTAAAAGAACAATTACTACAATTTGTAATATTAATATAATGGCGAAGCACAGCTCACTCACCTACTAATATTTGAAACTACACAATACTTACTCCTTTAAAAATAGTTGTCATTGTGACATGTCGAAAATGCAGTTTTTAATTTTTCGAAAATGTATTGATATAAATGCCATCAGATAAAATTTTGTATGTAATACGAATCATAAACAATCATTATGGCACACGCCGTGTTATCGGACTCGGCTACGCTTCGCCCGATAACATTCACGACTTGTACCATAATGATCGTCTTTATGATCCTTATTACATAAATAACTATTTTGTAATGAAGTAATTGTATATTACACACCTAGGTGGGAAGTGATTCATTCCTGTCGTGAGATTATAGTTAGTTAACCGAGACGCGTCGAGGTTAGCTATAATTTCGAGACAGGAATGAAACTTCCTACCAAGGTTTGTATACTATTCCATTTACAACCATCATATTTCGATCGAAATTAATAAATCTATTAATCTTTGGTAGAAGTCCATATTGCTCAAAGTGGCGTGAAATATTTCACAGGAAGGAAGGAATGCTCGAAGTCATTTCCACAAATTTTAATGATATTTTTAACTAAATCATGAGGGACATGTTTCGGTCTTATAAAAGACCATCTTCAGCCTAATTGAAAGGTTTGGAGTTGAAAAAATTATTTTATTAAATGCTACTATTCCTTGAACTGTCAATGCCCATAGTCGAGAGTTCCAACCCAGCAAACACAGGGCAGTAACTGTAAAGTACTATGGAAGTAATTTTGCAACTAATATCCGCGTGCGATGTACGAAAAACATCTCCTCCCGCTCTTATTTGCAGCGAAATGTCCGCGACATCAAGTACGCATTTCATTAATTGTGTTGTTCAAATTGAGATTTGATAAAATATCCCAAATGAAACATATATCCGTATAGTCACTGTGGCAGTTTTTGAGACAATAAATGTCGTATTTACAATCACATTGGGCACATTCATGCGAGGATTCTCTGAGACTTCTCCATTTTATTCCTTTTGATATGGTGACTTTCTCGAATAGACTTCTTTGCGATGTTTCTCGATGACGATCTTTTCAACTAGAAATTCAACACATTTTGTGGTAATAACATTGTGGTTGTTTATTATTATCTTGAAATAATAATCACTGCATCTTAGATTTCTTGTTAACAAAGCGAATTCTCAATGTAACCACGTTCAGAACAAACATGCGTAATCAAACTGAAAACATATTTCCATTTGCAATTTGGGACTTCGCGAAACTGCCATGTGATGTAACGTGTTTGCTGGGAATAAGGTTCTGAATAAACGGGTTCTCAATAAATGAAGGGCCCCGTTCCCTGAGAGCGTTAACTATGTTTTATTAATGAAATCATATACCCAAAATGGTAGGTATATGAAGGGTATTGTCAAACAGTTTATTATCTGACAACACTACCCAGTTAACACAAACATCTATGAGAGATGTCGCATTCATGGCAGTTGATGTCACAAAAGCGAATCACAATATTGCATCGCTGATATCTACAAGGAATTCCTTGTGTGACAGATAGTTCGCAAATTTCGTCACATTCTGTTGGATCTGAGACCAATATGGATATAATATTTATGAAGCCCCTTAACTTCACAACGACTATAATTTCAGAATCTGAAATTTCAGTCGTTGAGAGTCATAATTTGATGTATCTGAATTGACAAACTGATTCACATTGTGTGCAGAATGAAGAAACGAAAATATGCTTCAATATGTGAATCTCTCTCACATCTCAAGGAAATTCATTTATGAAAGTAATATCGAACAATACTTGGAAATATCAGTGTACTCGCATACTCATGAATGTAGCGCACAATGTGACTTATGTAAAGTTTCGTACACACTCGGTCAGTGTCGGTCTGACTGATGTACACGTGTCTGTGAATTCTTTAGCGACGGCATGCTTTCGTCTCGTCCATTTCGTTGTTTCAGTTCATTAGTTCATTCGGTGTTGGTATGCAGTTCGTGTTTGGCGTTATTGCTTAGACTGAATAAGCATCTCTTTCTAATCGAAAATCATGATTGTGATTAAAGATACTGTGTGTTTCTCATCTAAGTTACAGGGTAAGTAACTACAACGTTCATAACTTGATACAATAATATACCTATATACTGGTTGACAATGAAGACGTCACAGTAGACGACACCACGTCGCCATTTCAAGACTATGATGATACTTACAATGATACCTTGGAATATATCATTTTGGGATCAGGGTATAAGAGTGAACATGCATATTCTGATTGTATATTGGGAAAGTCTGATTAAGAACAAAATTATTGCAAAATATTATGAATGGAAGGAAAAAATGCGCCGCAGCTATTCTCTATCTTCTTTGTCACCCGGTATAGAACAGTAGGTATGCAGTGTGATTTCATCTTCTCATAAATAATTTCAATCTTACACGACTCCACGTAGATATGAAAGTGACTTGAACATTTTTCAATACTCTCATTATGGTTCTCTACTCACTCTCTATAAGATATTCTGAACAGGAAATGGGCAAAATGAAATCAATTGATTGTTTCTATATTCATTTTCAGATGTCAAATCACAAAAGTCATCTGGACAACCTTGGAACAATTTGAAACTCTGAGCAGGGATTGGTTACCATGCTACAACGGAAGGAGAGATGAGGAGCAAATATTGGATTCTCTTGTGTTACTTTCAGTTCTCCATATTCATCGCGTTAACTCATGGAGATATATACCCTGTATAATTATTCGAAAAAGTCTAGGCCTGCGCTGTTTTTCTAATTTTAATCATTGTTATATCTAGGTAGTTCTGCTCAACATAACATGTACGTACTATTCTGATGTGTAATGAGACTAATTTTCAATAAAATCGAGTTGCCTTGTGAAACCCTTGATTGATCTATTTGACAGAGATTCGAGACCGATTAGTTCTCTCATTGAATACCTTCATCAATCTAGATGTGATTTCACTTGAGACATCAAAAATCAATGTGTATGTAGCATTTCTGAGACGCACAATATGATTCTTCCAGGGACGCTACGATACCAGTATAATAATCGAAAAGAACCTCACATTCAGAAATGGTCGATGGTCTTCTAAACCTCACATTCTGATTATAATGTGACCTCAATGTGAGTCTTATTTCAACGTGATATCTGGAGTCACATTCAGCTAACTTTTGAGTCCCATTCGGCATCTAAATGTGAAGCGAAAAATGACCAAAAGGGTCCGGAATAGAGGATCTGGAGATGTCGACGTGATTCACAAATCGAATCGCGGGTGTGATCTCAATCATGAATGTGAAGTGTACTGACATCTCTGAGATCAATTTGTGTTAACTGGGTATAAACTAGCGGGTTTTTAAAAAAGGGGTTCCCCGTTCCCTTATGAAGGCGTTATTTAAAGGCAAATAATATCAATAAAATTGATGGGGCAAGCAGCCAGCACGTGTTTTAAATCTAAACTAGATTTAAGATTGAAGGGCTAAAATGAAAAATGTTATTCAGAAACTCATATTGTTTCTGTTCAAGGAATATATATATGGTTAATGATGGATTGACCTCCTTTTAGCGGACACCCTGTATATTTTCCATACTTTCACAATCGATTACAATCAGATTTTTTGAGATAATTTGTTATTATTTTTCAGTACCTACATTTCAATCTCGAATTATTTTGAAAAAAGTATAAGTTGACCTGTACTGTGTACTCGTGTACCTATATAGACGTTCATTTTGAGTGGGTGAACATTTTATCGGTTGTTTGTGAATTCTCATGACAATATGTAATACAATACTGTTGATGTCATCCCATTCTTGGGCAATTAATTCTCATTGTATGGTAAATACTTGAGGTATCTACTAATATATTCACGAATAAGGTATACCTCAACCTATGGAGCATAGCTTTATCGCA